GGCTCCCTGGCTAGGGACCTCGAGATGGTCGTAACCGGTGGTTAGAGACACTGAGTGAAATAGCTGGGTGTCGCAAACAGTGGAGCTCGTGCGTCCACTCATTCATTATTCCCCTAACACTGTGTTATATGAATATTTCATCTTCCGCTTGAATTTGCTGTCAACATTCTACTATTCATTCTGCTGTTTTATCCAAATGCTCGGACAAAAGAAGGCAACAAAAACCAACGCACGAAAGTGCATGGTTATTGATTGTAACAAATGAACTGAACATCTGTGGGTATTTAATGCACCGTTCTATGCTCGACATCATAGTACGTTACTCACCAATCTCTTGTATGTTTATTAGATGAATTAACTCGCAGACTGGATGAGGATGAGAATGCGGATCGGTGCTAACTTGACTACAGAAAAGTGCTCGGTTCCGTTAATCATCGCTCAATCATAATCATACAGCGTAATACAGTAAAGCGAATTTCCTGATCACTGCCAACCTCGTGATATATGAAAAGTGAGTGATAAAGCGAGAAGATGAAAAGAGTTTGGGCCTAACTGAGGGAAGGAAAAGAAAGTAAACCTCAGTGTTCAATACACACTGAGTCCGTAATCGAACTCTGCACACATACCCTTTCAAGCTCTTTGACCCGATTAGAAATGACAACAAGAACTCCACTGATGTCATTTAGTTGCCATATCCTTCAGTGTCTCCAACTAGCCAGTTGCGGAGTCTTTTGGACCCGCAACCTGGATGACGGGAGACACCTATACTATCTAATCGCCGTGTGCATTCCTTCAGGCCTCGTTTCCACGTCATCTGTTGTTCTCCCCGTGGTTTCTTCCCACCAGGAGCCGCAGCTGAGAATAGGGCACAGTGCAGCAGATGATGGCCGGGCAGGCGTAATACGTTTCCTAGCCTGCACACCGACTAATCTGAATCCAATGGGATAACGAATTCTCCATCGAATCATTACCAAATACTCGACGCCTTATCTCAAAGTTTCTTACACGCTCGCTCCATCAAACCCGCGTCGAACTATGTAAACATCGGCAGTCGAACACTTCAAGTCGACGAACATCTTCCGCGCGCTAATTTAGGGTCTCGCAACCATAAAACAGAACTGACCGCACACTGGCGCAATATACACGACCTTTCATTTTCAACGAAACATCACTCTGCACCAAAAGTGTTTCAATCCTGCTTAAGCTGCTCGAACTTTGGAAACGTGAGCGGTTACTTCATTGACTATGCTACCGTCATTCGTAACGCAGCTACCTAAGTAGATGAAACATTCCACTAAAGCTAATTCTTGGCCAAAAAGCATCGGTGTCGGGATAGATGATATTCAATCTTGTGGTGTCACTTCGTGTTTTGAAGGCGCTAAGCGCATGCCAAAGAGAGCTACAGAACTCGGAAGTCTGACAGGAGCGCTTTGCGCATCCTCAATACATTCGAACAGGCATACGATGTTATCAGTGTACTCCAAATCGCACAGCTTTTCACTAGCTGGCCATCCAATACCTACGTTCTGGAGACCGTTTAGTGTGTCCTCCGACGAAATTGAAGAAAAATGGTGGAATAGGGCACCTTTGATAAACACCACTCTTAGGTTCGAACAACTTACTTAGCTCACCGTAAACCCTTACGCTACCAGAAGTATGCAGGTACAGCGACCGCAATAGGTTTGCATACTTCCGCGGCATTCCTTTGCGGAGCGGCGATCCCAGCTGAGCTTCACGGTCAACTAAATCAAAGGCCCCTTTGAGGTCAAAGAACNAGAATTGTTGGCCGACGATGTGTGTGACGCAATTCGAGGACTTGACGCTAAGTGAAGATATAGTCAACGCAACTGTTACCTAGTCGGGATCCGGTTTCCTGTTTGCGGATATTCATCTACCTTAAAGGTGTCAGGAAGCGAAGTATCACAGAAGTCAACACTTTTGTGATTATCGGAACAAACTAATCCCCGTGGTGGTTTGTGCAGTCGTTGCGTGACCCCTTCTTGAAGATTAGAACGATCAACGATTCACCCCCAGGACAAAGGGCTACGCTCCTCCGACCAAATGCTGCGGAGCAAACTAGTAATCGAGTCGACAAGAGAATCACTACTCATTTTGCGAAGAGTGGTGAGAAGCCCATCAGGTTCCGCAGCCTTCCATTCCTCTATTGATTGAATACAGATTTTTACTTCTAATTCTGATAGGGGCTTACATATTAACATCCATGAGGTTATCCCTGGCGGCAATCGGAAGGAGAAGAACATTGATGGAAACAAGGAATTGGAGAGAGAGAGAGATCAGAGTTCAACTTCCAAGGTGCAAAGAACACTTAGATGCTCAATCAAGTAGGTGACCAGAATCTACCATGACTGGGAACTTGTGTGTGTGCGCGTGGTTCGTCCGCCTCTTCCAGGTTGGTTTGTAATCATGGTTTTTAGCAAACCCCCAACGAAACCGGGTCAGTGGCTCACTGACTCAGTTATGGCTAAGGATGCGGACTTTTCATCCTCTTGCTTTGGTGGGGTAAAACATCTCCATGTGAAAGCAGTGAGTACGCTTCTTCAACAGGGGCTATTTTAGGCTCCTGATCATACGGGAGCATTTCTCCAGGTGCAATGGAAGAGTGACCAGTCACAACCGAAGATACCAACCCTCGACTATACTGAGGTTCTTGTGTGTTCAACCTGAATATGAATGATGGATTAGTATGGAGATGGTCGAAAGCGAAATTCGTGTACAAAAATGAAAAACTGGTTCAGCAGCAGCAGCAGCGAGATACAGTGAAGCGAGCTTCACTGATCGCTGTCAAGCTCACAATGTACAATGAAAAACTGGTTACTTCTCGGATGGAAATGGATCGGCTAAACAGTCGGAAAACCTGTCGAATTGGCTTTCGCGCTCCTCTTGTGCCTAGGGAGGGAAAACATTCCACGGAGAAGAGCAGACCGCGGAAGAGATAAATCACATCCTGAGCGTACAACACTTACCAAATCCGAGATTGAACATTTTGTCCGCCTCGTCAAACACCAAATAGGTAGTACGGCGCAGATTTGTTGACTTTTTCTTCACTAGATCAATCAGGCGACCCTGAATTAGAATAAGCCGGGATGAAAGGAGAACATAAGCGAACACTGGATGACAGTGTCGTGTATAACACTCTTTGTCTACTGCATATCACTGTATTCATAACATTTCTCTTTTATACGTTTTAGCCTATATGCCAGGGTTGTTGGACGAATAAAGCCTTACATTTCTGGGCTCTCAAACTTCTCTCTCCCGAGCAACTACCGACTGTTGTCATCTCGTATGCAGTACATAACAATTTATTCGTCTAACAATAGACCAGCCTTATCGACCGGAACGCTTCGACGCGGATCCAAGTTGTCCTTCAGCCGCGAAAGTCTGCAATCATTGGCTTCGCATATTCACCTTGTTTATCGCCAGAGCGGCGAAATCAGATGACGAAAAGCTGGAGCACCTCATTGGATGCGTTTCTTCTACCGTTTAGGAGTATATTACCGAGAGTGAAACGTTTCAATGCGCTATGACGATTCTAGAGAAGCTTTACGTGAAACCGAAGAACGAGGTTTTTGCTCGACACATACTGTCTACCAGTAAACAGGAGGCAGGTCAGAGTCTTGAACAGTTTATGCAGAAGCTGAAATCATTTGCAAAAGACTGCAACTTCGTAGCCGTCACGGCCGAACAAAACCAAAACAAAGCCGTACGAGATGCTTTCATCAGTGGAATGCAATCGTTTTCAGTACATAATAAACGGTGAAACAGCAGTTGAAACAAATTTATGTGAAGTCTCTGCCAAGCATCACTTGCAGACAGTTTGGTCATTATTGTTATCATCTTGGTACGGCGGGATGCGGGATGGAATGAACTTCGCTGACAAAAGACGAGCAAACACACGCACACAATGTGTAAAAAGTAATTACAAGGCGATTTTTAATGCGTAGGGAATGGACTAACGTCTTGAGGCAGTGAAGACGGAGGAATCGCCGGGATCAAGACACGGAATACGCGCAGTCTGACCGGGTATACCATCGTCATTATCATACAGCGAAATACAGAGAAGTGAACTTCACTGATCGCTGTCAAACTCGCAATGAATGTGCACTGGGGTTTGATGGACAGGTACTGTTAGGGTGTCCAGCCACTAAGCAGCAGAACGATTAGGGTTCTTGTCCAAAGACTTTAGTTCTGACAAGAACCTAACCGCAAGGCAGCGGATGAAGCGAAGTGGAGGCCGATTTACTCTTCCACGATTTTATACAAACTGAAACACAAATTCTAGTAGAACCCCCAACCAGGAGGACCAGGAGACTGAACTTCGTCTGACCTCTACCCTTCGACCTTTCCGCATGATTAGACCTTCGGCTTGAAAAAAGCCATCCTGTGTAGCTCGGATCAGAGAGGTGCACAAGCTATCACACCACGTCAAGGTGCAGTCTCATCGTACTATAGTGCGAAAAGGAAAGACAACACTGGAGAGTGTCTCTGCTTTCGGTTCGCTGTTATGTCCTTCAGCATTCTCAATCCAGCAGTGGGGGTTTTCTAGATCCAGTTTTTGATGTTGAGAAACATCTACTTTATTTGATCACTTTATGCATTTTTTTCTGGCCATACTATCTGAGTATTACGAACTGCCAAAACTAAGCGTGATTTTGTGTAGTTTCATCTTTTAGACTACAGTGTCGGGGTAATAATAGCCAGAGTGGATTCGCGCTAATAGGTATCCGCATTCAACTCACACTTACTTATGAGTAGTGGTGTGGGATAATGGGTATTGATTGACTTGAACTGACTATTCTTCGAACTTCACCTTCACGCACACTCCTCAGTTCATCGATTCAACCACACACTCGGAAGCACTAGACTCGAAATTCGCTCTTATCAGAGCTCATCAGTAGTGCATATCTACCGTCCCGTCTGGGATTAGAGTCAACGAATTGTCATCTGTATCTCCCGTCGTTGTTGTCGAACCACATGAACTGACTGACTATCACTGAAGACGACACCTGAATAAAAATGAATTGGCAATTTGGTTTAGACATGGTATGAACTGGTAGGCACAGTGGTAACCCACACGTCTTCCATGCGATGGGTCCGGAGTTCAAATCCCAGACGGGACGGTGAATATGCACTACCGATGAGTTCTAATAAGAGCGAAACTTGAGTCCGGTGCTTCCGCGTGTATGATTGAATCAATGAACTGAGGATTGTGCGCGAAGATGAAGTTATAAGTATCCGTAATTTGGTTACGGAAACCGGCAAAATTAACACTTGGACTTGGAGTGACGAACAATAACAAAAGACCCCAGGATTGACGCTGCTTAACACTAAAGTTTGATGGCGGTGGTGGGGTTTGAACCTTGGATACCAGGGCCCCTAGCACACCGGTAACGGTGACTTGAACCGCGGGACCAGTAGCAGCGGCAGCATCGCCACCATCAGCCATCCGTAAGCAAGTAGACAGTATCTAAGTACCTCATCACCCCGAGAGGATGAGTAGACAACTTTGATTTCATATCGCTGATTGGATTGTAGCACATAAATGAATAAGGACAATGGCATCTAATTTCTACCCATTAAATATTCATAAAAACCCGAAGTGTACGGCAACCATGATTGTTTGTATAAAAAAAAGAAAGAAAACGACCAACCCGATCCGCTGCTCACCGGGGTACAGATGAGAATTTCGCATCCGGCCTCACAGGCTTTCTGTTGTTCCCATAAGCTCCCGCCACCGTAGGCACAGATCACCGTCAAATTGTACACTTTGGCCAATTTTTTAGCCTCAGTGTAGATTTGCTGAGCCAGTTCTCGAGTCGGAGCACAGATCACCCCGATCGGTCCGTCGCCCAGCTTGAGCGGAGGCTTCCAAAGCAAGAATAACAAGAACAGTGAGAGAGCTTGGTTATTCGGTGATAAGTTTCACAATGAAATGCGGGATAAGGCATAAAGACGCCGTAGTCAAGCCGTACTACTACCACTACTACTACTACTACTGTTACTACTATTACTACAGAAAAACGGGGGCTAAGCGTTCGAATCTTGGCACCACCTAACTCCGAATGTATTCAGATGTCATCCAGTAGCCTCCTTCGACGAATATAAGGCACGGAAAGACGAGAACAGCACAGTTGTCACTGTTCGTAGAGCGCTGAACGAGTAGTGAGATTTTTTCATCACAAACAAATTGCCAGATGAGTGGATGAGATGCGAACGACGAATTTCGCAACAGAACAGCGCCACACAGATACCCAGAATGGATCCGGTTGCACACTTTTAAGGGGTGCAAAGTTAGATAACCTTACAAATTACTCGAGCGTGGAACGGGAATGACGGAGTTCTACTACTGACAACAAGGCAAACGTGCTACCAAGTGCACAACGGATAAATTAACTTGAGTAAGACATAATCCAAAACAGTTTGCAAAAAAACAACATTGACTTTACACTGTTGTAATTCGTTTCGAATCGTGATCGTGTTGTATTGTATTATAATATAGTGTCTAATAATCTGACCAGTTAGCGCAAGACGTTAGGAAGAAAAAAAGAACGGGTATCGCTAGGATAAATGCACTGAATGGAAAAATAGGTGCGTAAGGAAAATCGATAAACGATCGAATGCATTATTACTTTATGCAAGCAAAAATGCTGCTCCACAAACTGGTGTTACCCTGACCTGGACAGCGAATTGATTGTACATAAAATAGGCAATTCAATCCAACCCCCGACCCCCTCTTCAACCCGCTCTCCTCATCCAATATCATCAACCACAATCTTAATAACTAATTATTTTGTTTTTACCTCTAATGTCCGTTCCCGATTACGTCAGTTGCCATGTATGACATATAGTTTCTACCATGTATTACGTAATTTCATCCCGCTCTCTCTCTCTTGTCTTAGCTCACAACCTTCATTTTAATCTGACTATCTCTCTAACGTTGCCCAATCGTGACAATCACTGTAGCCTCGTCACATTCATTCGCTCTGTTTGCTCGCCCCTGTCATCGTAACTAGCTGAGCTCTCTAATCGGCCAATAAGACATCTGTACTAAGATTATCTTATATAAGTAAACGCCCGATACGATAAATCGAAAAGAAATTTCTTTTTGAATACCGTTTTCTATATTGTTAGGCTGGTTACGCTGATTCCGATGAGGCAAATCGAGAAGCCCAAGGCAACCTTTGAAACTGAGGGGCACACTTATTCGATGAGGCGAGCGCGCGCACACACACGCACAGCACGCGCTCCAATCAACATAAACGATGGAGGTCAAGCAAACAGGCAAACACGCTACCCCAATCATTCCTTAGCTTAACTCTCTGATCTTGCATGCTCCTTCAGTAGTCATCGCACCAAAGTCGTGCAATGCGGTTCGGAAAGCGGTATCTGAGCCCCGATCAGACCGGTGGGATGAACAACAGACACTTCAAGGAGAGCCACAGGTTGTGTGCACAAGCCATCACACCTCGTCAAGGTGCAGCCTCATCGTGATGTCATTCAACTTTACCCCTTACTGAGTGGTAGCCTTCTAACGGCCACGGCCATGTTCTCCAATGATGACTGGGCAATAGTCGTGTGACAGGAGAAAACGAATATATCACTATTATTATTCGTAGTAATAGGAGTAGTAATACGAGGCGGAGACTTCTGCATTCGGCAAAACATCATGCGAGCATCGTATATATTATATTATATTTCAAACTTGTCTGAGGACAGACTGTGTGCCAAGAAAATCATGGTACAATAATCTGTATAAAAAGGAAAATGTTCCATGATTGGCTTGTGGGCTGAGTACTGCCAAGTTACCCAAGCCAAGGCAGGTGAATTTTCTTGGGCAATCCACAACCGGAGCTTTCGGCTAGCCAAAGCCTGACCCGCAAGGCAGTGGGGCAGTGTGTGAGAACCGCAGTCCATTGTGAGCCGGTGTCCAGTTCATCGGATCATACACCCTTCGGACGGGGTCAAACGTCCGAAGTGCCCAATCGAGCCGGTGACCACTGCCACACCATGGAGGCTCTTGCTGAGTGTGGTTAGTACGCCTCCTCTTGGTTTGTTTGGAATCAGGGTTTTCGACCAACTCACCTAGGTGAACTGCCAGTGGCTCACCAACCCGGTTATAGCCCCGGATATCGGCTTTTCGTCATCTCACTTCGGTGTGGGAAAACAACTCCGCCAGCACGAGAAGGCAGTGAGTAGGACTACCTCAGCAGAGGCTGTTTGAGACGCCTGGTGCTGTATGGGAGCCATTTGTGAGGTGCACGGGGCAGGGTGACCAGCCGGAACCCTAGACACCCACCGACCCCCCTGACCATGTACTGAGGCTTCGAACTTTATTCACTGGGAGAGATTTGGCGGTCTTATGTTGAAAGAAATTATTCAAATATTGTATTGCCTCTCAAACAGGGCATAATGGGGGGGGGGCTAGGGGGACTAAAAACTAAGCCCATTTATTCGTGTGATAGAATTTCACACTTAGGAGATTGTGAAGAAAGTCACATTAATCAATAATGATTAGATTGAAGTATGTCACCTGCAAACTATGGAACCGAGAGAAAAATAACGAGATGAAGAGGAATAACACAGTCGGCGAGGAATCAACGCAGTCATCAAAATTTAAACAATTAGTTTAGTGTGTGTGTGTGTGTGTGTGACTCACATTAGATTCCAACTCCTACGAAGAGGGTGGGGGAGTTGCGCAGATTTCGTTTATTCCATTTTTTGTTGTATCCTATGTTGAACTCGTGCCACTGCATCTCATTGTAGCATGATGATTATAGATGTAACTATTATTTCTCTCTCTCGCTCTGTCACGAAAAACCCGTTCCGAATCAGAACGATAATAAAAAATTCCAGACGAATTCACAACACCATAGGATAGAAGTGATACATAGAGCACACACACACATTGTAACGCTTGGCAACCGCGGGTTAGTAATATTTTATAGCGTGAGCGATTGTATCTCACTGGACCTTTTTGGTTCATGGCGTTTTGGTTGCTTTTAATTGCAGGTTTTACTACAACCCCGAACGACCCACGGAAGACCTGTCTGCCAGTGTTCCCTTGCCAACCCGTGTCCCGCCTCCCTACAGCCGTCGTTCGTAGCCCGCAAAGCCACGTAGTGATCCCAGCTGTGAAAACACGAGTGGAGGGACATCCTGTCACGCATCCGTGTCCACTCCACCGCGCTGCAAGAGCCTGGAATACGATCGCACTGTACACACACACACACACACACACACACACACGTGAACCTACCTGATCCATAATGTGAATAATCATTGGCCAGAGGAACGCGGCAGTTTTACCACTACCGGTTTTCCCAATCCCGATCACATCCCGCCCGGCCAGTGCGACCGGGACCGCTTGGGCTTGGATTGGGGTCGGTTTTGTGTAGCCCGCTTTGCGAATCGCTTCCATCAGGGGCTCGTCAAAACCCAAATGACCGAACGCACAGACCGGTCTGAGGGGACTCGGGCCGCTGACACGTAGGCCCAATTTCTGTCGCAATTCTTCCACGCCCGATTCGTCCAGACTGGAAATGTCCGCGTGTTCCACGTAGAAATTTTTTGCGAATGGCGCATAATTGATCATGGAATGATCAACCGGGGGCAATGGATCAATCATCTGGGAAAACAGAGTAACAGAGGGAGACTGTGTTCTACATAAATCGTCCGCTAACCAAAACAATGAAGAAAAACAACAGACAGATGGAAAGACAGATTCGCGGAAGATAGACCCAAATGAATAAATTTTCACCTAACATGATCCAATTAGGCAAGAAGATGCGAGGTACCGAATCACACGTGAGATGCATGTATATTCGAAGTTTCTCTCGTTCACTATTCCTCATCCTGAGATTTGTG